AACCTTTCAAAGACCTACAGAAAATATGGCATTTAAATGGTTTAGGGTTTTTCTTGACAGTGAGACACAACTGCTCCTGGCACACCAATTATATCTGAGAGGAAGATGGGCATCCAAGAAACTCGTTATAGAGTTTGACTTTGACATGGAAAGACGAGCCATTTGGACAAGAAGCTACTCTTGCTTAAACTGTTTCCAAATCAGGACAGTTTAGAATTTTCTGCTTTGCTGATATGTCTGCCAGACACATTGTGGCCTGTAGGCTAAAGATGGATGCCCCAAGGTTACCAAGAAACTTTGGGTGACTGTCTAGGAAGCAAGGTGTCTCTGTCAGTTCTAGAGTCTATATATTATCCTTCTTCGGTCTTTGATGGAGTTGAAGATAGATAGTTATAGTAACACACTAAGATAGAATGGTTAAAATCTTATAGTTCTTACTTGATAACTGTTTTGTTATATATAAAGAAGGGGGAGATGTTGGAACCCAGCCGCCATGAGGTCTCTAAGAGTTGTTTTCTAGCATAACCACAGGTACCTCCTGTTTTCCTGACCTCACCCCACTGGGATCAATATCCTGTTGTGAACCCTCTGACCTGGGGTTTTTGTAAGTTTGTATAAAAGGCTGCTCCACATTAAAGGTGAGAGACATTCTCTCAGAAAAGGACCAGGAATCTTGTGGTTCATCCAAATCTCCAGACTTTTGCCCAATACTGGGACTTAGTGGCCAAGAGCAGCCACACCTCAGGCTGGCAATCACATGTCTACATTATTTCTTCCTTCTTTCCTTCTTCACATTCAAGAGGTGTTTAAGGGATCCACAGTCTCAGTGGGCCATGGTGGTTCACACCTGGCTTGTAACCTGAATACACAGGATTGTGAAGAAATGCCTCAAGTTCAAAGCCAGCATAGGCAATGGCTTGTTAATCACTTTCCAAAACTAACCAACCAACCAACCAACCAAACACTTCTCCAATAACTCTCTTGAGTGTTAGTGTCACCAGCTTTTTGACCTGAGTGGATTTTACCCCCTTCTATAACTGTGGGAAGCAATAACAAGTGCCAGTTTAACAGCAAAACCAGTTTTTATTCTGGGACACCAATAGAAGTCAGAGATAAACTCAAAAATCATCCTCTCACATTTGGGGGTAGAGAAGTCATGGGATGAAAGAAATGAATGGGAGGGGTAGGCTATTAGGAGGGAAGACTATCTGTGGGCTCTCTGAGAAGGGAGACATCTTCCAGAAATTCAGGAACCACTTCTTCCCCCATTCCTTTTATGGTTTTATCCAATCATCACCTCAGCAGATGTATGCTCTTAATGACATGTGAAGGTGTCATTCAACAGGCAGATGGGATTATAATGAAGTTAGTGGCTGGCTGGTATCACTTTGGCAGCCATCTTGGCACTAACCAGTTTCAGCTAACCCACCTGGGGGTGGGATTTCTAGCCCTTTGGTTTTCTGTCCTCAAATGTAAAAGGGATTACAGTGGGGTTGAGAATCATCTGAGTCAAACAGGCCAAATTCATGGTAACATTGGGAGAAAATGTTTTTTTTTTTTTTTTCTTGGTTTTTGAGACAGGGTTTCTCTGTAGCTTTGAAGGCTGCCCTGGAACTAGCTCTTGTAGACCAGGCTGGACTCAAACTCAAAGAGATCCTCTGCCTCTGCTCCCCCCCACACACCCAGTGCTGGGATTAAAGGCGTGCGCCACCAACGCCCGGCTGGCATTAACTCTTAAAGGGAGAAAGACATAGTAGTAGAAACAAAAAACTCCCAAAGGTCTCTTACCTCTCCAATGTTATAACCACTGTAGAGGGCAGCTAGATATCCACCCACAAAAGCACCACCAGGGAGCAGATACAGATAATTGTATTCTGGGGGATCTGTGGGTCGCTTAAACATGTCCAGCATTCTCTGAGTTACCAGAAAGCCACCTTATCAAAGCAAGAGAAATACAAACAGCAAAAGGAATCACATAGGACAGCATGACTCTTTTCCATATGCTACAATCTCTTTACTAGGTAAACCTTTATTGCCAACCATCACAAAGTGACAACTGTTATTTCAAGTAATATCTTTGACCCTCAAAAACAAAAATTATTCTATTATTATCAAAGCCAGTTCCCTTAGGATGGAAGAAGCATGGGGAACCCTCAATACAGTTAAGAACAAAACTTGCTATCAGAATGCAGGGCCAACGGTTTCTGCATGACTAAAAGCAAATAGCCATTTAAAAGCTTGAAAATACAAAGGATCAAAAGTCAGTGTTATTCTCTGATAGGTTACTCTGTTTGTCAAACTCTGTAACAAATGATAAAGGGAAAAAATACTGCATCAACAGACACCAGGTTTCTTGGACACATTAAGGAATTTTTAGCTATAAACTAGCATCAAATGAGTGTCATACATGAGTGATGTGCTAGCCTTTCCGTTTTCAGGAACAAACAAAGTGTGATAAGGCAAAAGACTAACATTTTATCCACAGCTGTACTTATTCAGAGATGTCACGGTGATAGCAGAAGTCAACATAATTCAAGGCTATGCATTCCACGGCTTTCCAGTTAGCTTCTAGCAAGACTCATTACGCGGTTGAGGGTATGGACGGATTGGTTCTTTATCAATACAGTTTCTAACTATTACAGATAGGCAAAATATTTGACTTTCCTTCAAAAGGAACATTAGTGGTCTGAGAGAAGTCATTTTTAAAGGTACAGTTAAATGCTTAAACTCAGAAAGTCTACTTTGCCTGACTTGGTATGTGCTTCCCATGTCACCAAAAACAGCAGTTTGAGCTCTTTCTTCTTCTCCTACCTGCAATGTTGACTGATGATATGAATGTAGAAAGAGCAGCAAGACACTGTGGAGTTGTGGAAGGATAAAAATGTCCTCCCATCAATGCCAACCCACCAACTGCAGTCAAACCTAGAAAGAAAACATCAATGTGATGAATAAGTACAGTGCCCTCTCCAAATCCAACATTATAACTGAAATATCAAAAGACAAGACAGCCTTCTTACATCTCCATTAAAATGGTAAGAACAAGAGCAATCTTCCTGATCAAAACTGTTGGCAATACACCTGTGCATCTTTCTTACTTGAAGAACTATTGTGGACAAAGTCTAGCAAGCCTTGCATCCTTTGGCATAAGGATATCCCCTTCAACTTCCTACCTGTGTTCTCATCAAGGTAAGTCATCAATGTCACTAGAGCACTGCTTAGAGGGAAATGTGACTGTGAATGGATAACTTGCAACCAAACTACAGGGAGCCAATCGTGATCTACGGGTATTGATCAGGTTGCTACCAATTTGAGCTTTTCTGGTATGTGGCACTTTTTGAAACTGAATGTGCCCCCTGCAGAAATCCTAGGAGCTATGCCTGGGACATTCCAAGAGATAATCATGTGCTCATTCACACTGGCTACTCAGATGGTTCCCATTCCCTCACATCTAAGCTGCTACTGGAGGTCAAAGAGAGGAGCTCCTTGCAGCCGTGAGTACTGATATGAAAACTCTCACCAAAGAAAGATGCCTGGTACCATTTCCTAGCAAACTGGTTCCTTGTCCCTAACCAACATGGTCAACCCAAACCATACAAAGTATACTAGAGCCTAGTAGATTGAATATTTAGATGATTCTAAGAAGAGACCCTAGAGGGTGTTGCAACTGATTCTGTGAAACACACTTTGGTTTTTAAATTTCATCAATGGAATCGTTTCCTTAAATTACATGATAATTGGAAGAAATATTAAAGGATCCACACAGTTGGAAATGGGAACACAGGAAGGGCTAACAGTCTAAATGTCATCCTACTTGACAAGCCCACTTACCCTTGGGATTCCCCAAACCATTACAATAGCTACAGTAGACACCAGGAGTCAAGATTTGAAAAATAGACTTTATAAAGTTCATTGGGACTACTCCTAGAGCTGAGAAGCCTATGACAGACAACCAAAGATGCAAAGAACAAACCTGAGATCGCATTTGTCACAGACATCAGTGGTGAGTGGAGAGCAGGGGTCACTCCCCATACAGTGTGGTAACCAATAATGCCAGCCAAGCCAAAAGTGGTCACCATCTGAGAAAAGGCTAGATTGGGGGCCACAATGCCCAAACCCAGCATCCCAGTGAGACCTAGAGGAAGAGAGAAAAAGTGAGATGGCCTGCAATGACCATACACACACACACACACACACACACACACACACACACACACACACACACTATAGAATAGTCAGTGTTTTAAATTCTATCCCCCTTGCCAATAATCAGCAGGTTATTAAGACATTTGACCATTAAGATGCAAGGGAGATTATGGACAAAATCTACCTTACCTGACCACTCCCCCAAAATGAAATTGCAAAGCTCTAGTAATATTTATGAGTCACCTTCATAACAATTTGCACATTTCCCTGTGCCTAACTTTGTCCTCTTCTCTGTCTTAACATCTTCTGACAGTGTCACATGTGTTTATACATGCATTTTCAGACCAAAGTGACAGGCCGACAGAAGAGCTACAAAGCACTTTCGGCTCAGGCAGGATATAACCTTTATGAGACAGGACTTTTATGAGGCCAATTTTATGTCACTCTGAGTTGTGGCTGAGCAAGAGAGGTTTTCAAAGACCAGGAAGGATTTCATTCACTCCAGCGCCTCCCTGAAACATATGGCTTCCACCCACCCAGGAGAGAAATTTTGCAATTGCTCCTGAATCTGGACTGAACTGCTGGCCAGGGCAGTCAGCTCCAACCTCAACACCAAGTCAGCAAACAGTTTTACAAAGAAAAAAGGGGAAAAAACCTACAAATTAAATTAAGAATGTGCAGAATATAAACAGTCAGCTCTGAACATACATCTTTAATTATCGCCTTCCTTAATAACAAACATGTGGATGGCTGTTCTGCAACCAAAGAAAGGGTTACCTAGTGGTCAGTAAGAACAGAGACACTGAGCTGTTGGGGAGCTGGAAGGACCCTTTCCTGAATAAAGGGCCTTGATTTCTCAGCAAGAACTATTGCTTTATTAGTGACATGGCTGAAGAAACAGCTATAAGTGGGCATTCAGTTTGCCTTAAGTTGACTCTTCTTAATGTAGATTTCCTTGTTCATATTCAGTATCTCAAAAGTTCTAACACATGGCTTGTCAAATCTCTGGAGATTCAGATAAATGCTTTGGCTTTCCAGTTTCTGATAAGACACTCTATATAGGGTTATGATTAGTCATGTTTTCTTAAGTCAGATTGCCTAATTCAAATCCTCACTCTGATGCTTGCTAGTGCCTGATCTTAGACATGTTATATTCCTCTCTCTGTTTCAATGTTGTCATCCATAATATTATTAACCCTCCATGTCTTTCTCTCAAAAGAAGAAGATGATAACATCCCACATCACTGAGTTGCTATAAGGCGTAAGTGAGCTAAGGTATATGAAGCATGTAGCACAATGACTGGTACTCATTAAATGCTAGCCTATTCCTATCACAATAGTGAAAAATTACTAACTCAGCAAAACCCACAGTGCCTCCCAATGGACAAAGACACAAACACCACCACATAGAGAAAGGTTTTCTTATCAACTCTAATTACTGAGCAGAATAGAATGCCTTGCCTCAATAAACATGACAGAAACCTCAAAAAGTAAGTTGTCACATATTCCCTGCTCCATTTCTTTCTGCATCTCAAAGAGAACTGGAAGTTCACAGTCCTGCTTAGAAAACACCCCACAAGCAATGCAATCATCTTACTCTTTTTTTTTTTTTTTTTTTTTTTTTTTTTTTTTTTTTTTTACAAGTGAGTGCAAGCAGGGACACTGCCCCATCTCCTCACAATATGCACCCAGCAGAAGCTTCTCAGTCTTCTTGCTGAGTCTTGCTCTTTATTCAAGGGGAGTTACACATTTAGCTTTAAGACATCTGGGCTCACATGGGAATCCGGGGAATGCTGAGCCTACAAGAATCCTGTGTGCCTGCTGCTGCTGCCTTAATTCGTTATAGTTTGCTTGTGTTTTGTTTTTGCTTTGACACTAAGCAGATCTAAACACACTTCATTCCTTCTATGAGGAAGAAAGAAATTTCCAATCAAATACCCATATTTTAGCCCCTCACAATACATAGCTAGAAAGAATATGTCTCACTGTTTTACAGTAACACTTTAGTGATTTCAAAAGAATGACTCTTAAAATAAAAAAACTTGTGGTCAGTTATAAAGAAGTCAGAATTAAAATATTAAAGTTTCTTAGTAGGTAACTTAGAATGTTAGTCTAATATTCAAGGCTACCCCCTTGCCTCATATTATTTATAATTCAAACAAGCGTTTGGTTTCCCAGTCTTACCCAATTATACAGATAGCCACAACTAGTGTTTTACAAAGCACAAAAAGATCTTGAATAGATTTACATAGTTCAACATCACCACACTCTGACACCATTACTCAACAGCTTATATAGGTAATATTGATGACTATATTGAAGATGTTTTCTGTAAAATGTATTAATACCCTATGTTATTTCATATGCCTTCACTCCAGTATTTAACACAGTGCCCCTGTTATTTTGGGCAATCAATGCAATCTCTAAGTCCACAGAGGAGGGACAGGTAACATAGGATAAAGTCATACCTATCAGGCCCAGTATAATAGGATCCAAAAAATATCAACAGTATTCCACTAACTAATCATGACAATTAACATACTACATACAAAACTCAGTGCTAAGTCTTAATAAATGCTATCCTCCAAAGGGGTCAAGACCATGCTAGGGAAATCCACAGAAACAGCTGACCTAAGCAAGTGGGAGCTCACGGAACCCAGTCTGACAGCTGGGAAACAAGCATAGGACCAAACCAGGCCCCTTGAATGTGGGTGTCAGTTGGGGGAGGGGGGGTTTGGACACTCTATGGGGCCATCCCTAGTGCATGAACTGGCTTTTTGGAGCCTATTCCCTATGGAGGAATACTTTCTCAGCCTAGATACATGGAGGAGGGCCTAGGCCCTGCTCTAAATGATGTGACAGACTTTGATGATCCCTCATGGGAGACCTCACCCTTCCTGGGGAGTGAATGGGGGATGGGATGGGGAGTTGGTGGGGGGCATGGGGAGATGGGAGGGAGATGGAATTGAGATTGGTATGTAAAATAAGATTGTTTAATTTAAATAAAAAAGAAAATAGAGAATAAATAAATAAACAAACAGATGCTATCCTCACCTGCTGCATACACGGATGCTGTGGTCAGTGTCTTCGTGTATACTGAAACAGTGCCTGCTTTCTCTGCGTCCAGTTCAGCCACTGTCTTCTGTTTCACTGGGGCTTCTTCGGGGATATTTTTTGGTGTGGGAGCTGGGAAAATCACATTGCCATCCTAACAAATATTAGAAAACATTTTCAAAGTCAAAATAACTTACAGAAGGTGGCTTACTCTGAAAAAAAAAAACTTTCATGTAAATATAATTTAATGTATATTAATGTATATGTGTAATAATGTAAGTTCATATAATTTACAAAATCGGTATGTAAGAGTATAGTATTAGTGTTATACATATATAATTTTTATATCTCTGGGGCACATATAAAAGAATTCTGATCAAACCCTGCAAAGTAAGTGCATGAGAGAATAGTTCATTTTTACTTTATTAAATTTGTTTCTGTTTTTCAAAAGTGATATATATTTTTCAGTGCTCATGCATACTTGAGTCTTTGAAATACTTCCCTTAAATCATTCTCTATTTTTAAACAAATTCAATTGGCATACCAATGTTTTACTACAATATATCTCTATTCCAAAACGGGGTTCCTCTATGAACAGAAACCTTAAATCCAAGTTACATTAAAAACACAGGAGGAGGGGAATGGCCTACCTTCATCACCACTGTTCCTCGAATGACATGACTCATTGTACCAAAGTCAAAATCATCCTTCACTTCAAAATAAAAGTTATCCTTGTCAGGGCTGATGGCCTTAAGGAGTTTGGTGATGTTGTTGGAGTATAGAGTGCTGGCCTGAGTGGCCATCCGGCTAGGAAGGTCCGTGTAGCCAATATGAGTAATTCCCTACATGAAAAAGGATATTGTCACAAAAGTAAGTCCCCTACAATCTCACTCACAGTTGAAGCTCGGTTTACAGAGTACATATCTTTGTAGATATACACATATATACTTTCAAACACAAATACACATTTCAAAGTGAGCTTTAATTATGTCCATTTTTTAAATCTTTTCCCAGGATTTTTTTTTAAACTTTCTGACTTCACTTTCTACAAATACTTAAGAGGAATAAACCGCTCTTACAGAAAACTTGGGGTACAGCTTGTGGAAGAGAACTTGCCTAGCATGCATGAAGCCCTGGGTTTGAGCACCAGCACTGTAAGGAAATTTAAAAGGGGGGGGGGACAGTAAACCCTCAATTTGGGACTGGGGCTAGGACCCAGGAAGCCTTGGGACAAGGAGTATGTAGCCAATACAATTCAAAGACATTGTATCTGTGTATTACATTCTCAAAGAATTGAGAAAAATATTTTTTTAAACCTCACAAATCACTAGATACCAGAATCGACAGGCAGAAGACATTTTCTCGGTATACCTTATGAACATAAAGTTCTCCGGGCTTAGTGGTCTCAAAGTTTCCGCCAGCCTCAGCAGCTAGGTCCACAACAACTGAACCTTCCTTCATTGATTCAATCATTTCCTTACTAAACAAAACAGGAGCTTTTTTACCTGATGAAATCAAAGAAAACAGCACAAATTAGGATATGCTTCTCATTGCTTCAGTGTGCTCTGTGCGTTCAAGGCTTGGTTATGTGAAAAGTCAATTCTTTACAGGATACACCTAAGACTAGAGCATAAACGAGACCAGTCATCCACTTCGGGAAAGATATACGTGTGGGCTGCAAAGAGGGCACCATTCAGTTGGCAAGCAAACCTGGCCAAATGCTTGCCCTGAGTTATGTCAGCCATGCTTTTCCCAGCTGGCTTGCATCTAGGACCATTTACAGAGAGGTTTTACTTGTTTAAAAAGAATACGTAAAATAAGCCATTATGGAAACTATGTCCACCCAAGCTGAACAATTCGCAAAGGTCATACATGTCAAGAGTACATTCAGTACTAATTTATGAATTACAAAATAGGATATTTCCATTCCTTTTAGCAAATGTCACCAGATTTTCCAAATCATTACCCACCTTAATTTAACACAGGATAGCGACTAGAAGAGACCAGAAAGTGCCATGAAATAAACACTGTAGCACTGCACGGCTCCAAAGAGTTGGGAAGCATGCCTGTACTTCCATCCCCAACTACTGATCCTGTGAAGTCAGCCCTCTCTATACCTGGTGCTGGGAGTGCAGAGGTAAACAAACAGCAGCATTCCCTTTTCTCGTGAGACACATTCTGCTTATGTGCTATCTCACAGTTTAAATTTACAAGGTGCTTTAGGAGGCTCACTAGTTCCTACAATGAGATAAAGTCCCAACAAATACCTGAGCCAATACAAGGTCGGTAGACTAAAAGCTGGGCACCAACAGCCTCATTTCTACCCCTACTTTTTATTTTCAATTAGTAAATATGCAGTCTGTTTTTTATACTGACGTCAAACAAACATTACATTTGCATTAAAATCTTCTCACATTAAAATTATCAAGCCACTTGACTGAGATTCATACAATTCCAAAAGGAAAAAATAATATTTAGTTGCAATGCACATGAAAACAATTATAAAGATATGTGTGGGTGTTTGGTGTTACCTCAGTCTTTTTGGTACAAACTTTGTACAAGATAGAGTCCAAATCCTGATTCCCAAAGGCTTTTCTCCCCGGGTGCACAGTTCTTTCTAACATCCCCACTGGTTGCTTCTCTTCTGGGCCATCCACTTCAGCAACACTGGATCAGCTACCATAAGATCCCTTAAATGACATGGTTTTCTCTTCCAAGTCCCCATAAATAAACAAGAATCAAGAAGCATTTTCTCCCAGTCAACAGCCTGGTAGCTTCAGTGTTTTTTTCTTGTTTGTTTGTTTTTTGTTTTTTGTTTTGTTTTTTTTAACTCCTTGGCAGTCTTCCTTCCCCCTTCTCTACTCAAGTAGTAAACAAAGGCACCTTGGATATTTTCCTGAACCTTGAGAATCTGAGAAGGAAAACCATATATATCCAGAACTTTTCCCATAAGAAAACCAATACTTCTCAGCTCCCCGGAGATTGGTAACTGAATCGAGGTAGCCGCATCCACACAAAGGCAAATCTAAAGTGCTAGCCTATACTTTCCAGATGTGTACTGTCATCGCCATCCCACCCTTTTATGCAGAGCTGCTGCTTAAACTGGCCACGTTCTTGTTGTAGCTTTTACTCCCACCTTATTTATACCCTCCAGACTTGGGCCCACGAGGCCTCAAACAACCATTTAAATGCAGGATGGTCCCCTCTGGCTTCTGACTAACACTGAATAAATCCCCCAACTAATGATGCCACAAATTTTATTTGGCAACTAACTAATTTGTTCTGCTACAGTAATGCTAGATTTCTTTTATGTTTGTCTATATCTGACAAAAAAAGTTTAAGTGTAATTGTGGATGGGGGTAGGGAGTATTCGAATGCCAGGGTGTACAAATGGAAGTCTAAGGACAGCTGTGGGAGTCAGTTCTCGCTTTCTATTGTGTGAGTCCCAGGGATCAAAACCAGGTCATCAGATTTGGTGGCAAGTACTCTTACCCCCTGATACATCTCACCAACTCTGCTATGTGCTTTTGACTTGGAAGTATGTCTTGTTTGTTTGTGTTTGGTTTGGGTTTTGGTCTTTTAGGGTGTTTGTTGGTGCTAGAGGCTGAATCTATGGCCTCAAGCATATTAAACAATTGGTTGACCTCTGTAACTATATTTCTAACCCAAATTTCATCTTTTTAAAATATACCTCAGTGGCTTATCTATAACTTAAGTTGTATTTTGGGGAAGGAGGAGGTGATTTGGGAGAAGGTCTCCTATAGCCCAGGCTGATCTTAAAGGCACTATGTAGCTAGAGCTGGCCTTGAACCTCTGATCATGCCACCTCTGCTGTACGAGTATTTGTGTCCCCATACCTGGCTAGATCAAATGGTTCTAGCGATAACCTATGGTCTTTACACTAAGTATTCAATGTGAAATAATATACTATTATCTCAAAAATGACTGAATTTTAGAACAATAATAAAAAACAGACGATCTAAGTTATGTCAAGACACCAATGTGCAAAGGTGTCTTTTGAAGGCTGTGTCAGCTGTGACCAAATTTAACATATAAAGGTTGAATAAATAAAATGAGAGAAGATGGATTAAGGAGTCCAGAAATTTAGGCCATGTGATGTCTTGCTCAGTGGCAGTTTTCAAGTTCCGTTGCTGGTCATATTTTTAAAGCACATAACAGAATATGTATATTTAAATACATATACCTGCACTTGGGAGGCAGAGGCAGGCAGATCTCTGTGAGTTGGAGGTCAGCCTGGTCTCCAGAGCAAGTGCTAGGATAGGCTCCAAAGCTACACAGAGAAACCCTGTCTCGAAAAACCAAAAAAAAAAATAATAATAATACATATACCTATTTTATATGTGCATATGTAAGTTATCCATAGACTATATACCCTGTAATAAATTCAGTCATATAGCTTTTGCCAGTATCAGAGTATTATTTATTAAGTAGTAAAACTAATTTATTTTCTTGTCTGTACTTTTGCTTATCTCCCAAGTGTCCTAATTTTAAAATTAAGAAATCTCAATAAGGGCTGGGGGGAGGGGGTAACAATGAAGGACAGCAGCACAGCTGCCTGCAAGCACTCACATGTGGATTAACTTTTTTTTTTTTATTCTGGAAACTTCGAAAATGAAAATTAAAAACAGAAGGGGAAAGAATATAGCCAAAAGAGAAGCAGGAGAGTGAACAGTGTTCCAAATGAGAGAGCCTCAAAAGAATAGTCAAGAGAGAGAAAACCGGGAAGGAGATTTCAACATAGGATTTTAGTGTAATGGTCTAATAGGATAAAAATGTAACTGCATGGTAAATCAAAACATGAAGGAAGGACAGGGCAATGAATGGTTTAGATAGGTCTGGGGGCAAGCTTTCTATTCAAACTGAACTTAGTATTTCTAACTGGTCCAGGTAGGTTAAAATTAATTGTAAGAGAACTGACCCAGAAAGAGAAAGAGGAAAGTGAAACACTTTAGAATCTTTTTCTAGTCTGTGAACTTAAAATGGGATTTCCTAAACTTAAAACAATAAGGAAAATTACAAAAGACACAAGCCAGCTTAAATAATTCCAACTCTATGAGCATCTGGATGCTTTTTTCTTTTCTTTTTTTCTTTTTTTTTTTTTTTTGGTTTTTTGAGACAGGGTTTCTCTGTGTAGCTTTGGAGCCTATCCTGGCACTCGCTCTGGAGACCATGCTGGCCTTGAACTCACAGAAATCTGCCTGCCTCTGCCTCCCAAGTGCTGGGATTAAAGGTGTGTGCCACCAATGCCTGGCAAAAGTTTATCTTTAAATGATGAGATTAGAGTGATATTTTTTATCCTTGTGCTTTTCTCTACAAGGTCTACGAATTACATTTTTCTAATCAGAAAAAAGGAGGTCATCCATTTTTCTATGAATAAGCTAGAGAAAACAAACTTATTGCACAGGCATCCACATACAAATTCTAACATACATGTAATTGAGTGGGGGAAATGGTTTGATTCTTGTCTGTCACTTCAGCATAAACTAAATCAGAAAGTTCTAGGACAAAAAAAAAAAGTCAAAAATAGTCATTTCTCTGGAGGATGGAGCTAATAGAATAAAATCCATCAACTAAGCACAATAATGGGGGTCTGTTGACCAAGAAACACTGACATAACATGGATATACATACTGACATCTGGATGCTTAACACACACACACAAAGAAAAAAAAGTTTTGTTTTTTTTTTAAGGCCAGCAAGACAAACAAAGTAAGATCCTGTCTCAGATAAATAAAATTTGGGGGAAAACAAAAAGAAAGTAAATAAAAAATAATGTAATTCACAGAAATTAAAATGCAAAATAAAACATTTAGAGCTTAATAGAGGGTTAGAGAGATGACTCAGTGCTTAAGAGCACATATTATTCTTGCAGAGGACCCGAGTTTGATTCCCAGCACCCACATCAGGCAGCTCCCAACTGCCTCTAACTCCAGTTCCAAAGGATCCAGTGACCTCCTCCTACACAAGCACACACACACACACAAATAAAAATAACTGGAAAAAATTTTTTAAAAAATGGTTCTGAATCATTTTTTAAAAGACTTTTATAGTTAACTGGCAATATAAACAAATGATCAATTAAAAAATAGTAACTAATTTTTAACAAATATTTACCCCCAGGACAATTATGGAAATATTAAGTATAAAAAGTGAGAAATTGTTTTGGCTTCTCTAAGTAAGAGCCTAAAGCAATATAAGAATGGAGATGGGAAAGAAAACAGATGGTAGAGAGCTAAGGATGGGTAATAAGGAGGTGGCTATAATCCAAATACATTATATGCACATATGGAAATGCACAGTTTACATAAGCTAATAAATAGAAAGTAGTGTGCTCTATATTTAGATGAAACAACTGGACAATCTCTTGATGAGATTATGGACAACAAAATCTCAAGAAAGCCGTTTGTTGGGTATGTGCAAATTAGGAAGACAAAGTACCGGAATTCATCCCCGTCATTAGTTTTACCTTAGATTTTGGAGAAGT